AACCATCCTCTAAAGTTTATGTAGGGAACAGTTGGCATAAATCAAATTCACTTCAGCTTCACTAACATACTGTATAATGCACATTGCACTGGTGGCCCTCACTGCTTCCTCCATCTGACGATGTTTAGTGTCTTGTACCTTTGCTATCATCACTATTTTGAGCTCAGACACATGCATACAGTATTTAGGGCAATCAAGACACTAGAACACTCCCTCTCCAAATTGCAGTTTTAAGTTTGCGAGGAAGAACATCGAATGGAGAAGAACGAAGATCAGAGGTCAACACGAGAGATGTGGAGAACAATAGAGTCACTGATTGGCAGTCAGGTTTTCCTGCCCACTGTTGGAAGGTTTGGGCCTGTAATGGTAAAGCGTGTCAAACGCAGGCCTTAATTGGAGCGTAATTGCAGATGCCTTACTGAGAGAATGACATATGAAAAAGAGAATGAGGGGAGGGAGGGAAGAAGGAATAGAGAACGAATGACAGCAGGTAAAAAGAACTTTTTGTGGAGTCCATTTTCTCAGAAACTGAGGTGGCACAGCGGTCTCCAAACTGACCGATGGAAGTTTAATCCAGGCCACACTGTTAATTATTGCCATCACAACATTTAGTACTAATATTTCACAGTAAAATATTGTGAACACAATTTTATTTCTCTAATAACAAAGCAAATTATCATGAGGTTGATGTTGAGCTGCACCGGACAGCGTTATAGAACATGACAGCAGCAGAGAGTAACAGAATGATTTATTTATTAATTTATTTGATTGTTTAAATGTGGACACACTATATTGCCCCAGGTGTGTGTGTGTGTGTGTGAATGTATATGTCTGTGTGTCTGCCCTGCTGTGGACTGGCAACCTGTCCAGGGTGTTTCCTGCCTTCCGCCCCAGTGACCGCTGGGATAGGCTCCAGCTCCCCCACTTCGTGACAAAACGATACTGTTTTTAGTCACGTTTGTGCACATCAGCAAAGTTAAAATGTCTGTTTGATGTGTATTTGCATTTCTAAAAAATATATATTTAGTATGTTTTGCCAAGTAAAGACAGAATCACTGTTTTCCTTACGAATTTGGGTAACGCTTTATCTGGATAATCCACTTTAGATGTTTTGTAGATACTTAATTTACTTTCAAGTTACATTCAACTAAATATCTTCTAAATTGACCATAATCTTCTTAACTCTAAACCTGGCTGTAACCCTAACTCCTAACTAACTAACCTTAACCTCAAGCAAAAACCTAATCCCAACCCTCACCCTGGTCCTAGCCCTAACCCTCGTCCAAACCCTAACCCTAACCCCACCACTGTGTAGAATCAACTGAGTTTCAACAGATAATTTGTTAATAATTTGAACATCTGTAGATCATCTATATGGCACTACAATGGACTATCCAGATAAAGTGAGACCTAAATTTGTTCAACAAACGGTAAAAATTACACCAATGCTAACTTGATGGTATTTTTTAGCCCATAGATCAGTTGCTAGGCTAGCAGGATTGGCTGACCCACCAGTGATTTCCAATTGTTGTATTAAGCATTTGCATAATGCCTGCTGGGTATTGTAGTAAGAGACTGTTGATGAACGAATACATGAAAACGATATAAAATTGTGAATTCTAGGGGATGAGGGGATGAAGCCAGGGGGCGCAATGCTGCACTTCAGAACACTATAGAACATGACAAAAACCCCTTGAACCCTCAGTGTTTCTATATACGCTTCTCTATCTTTGTACAAGCTCAGAAATACAGTTCAAACATTTCCTGAATCCATAGACGTCGTTTATAGCTGCTGAAGTTGCTGCAGCAGTTTGGAAAGTAGCAACGAAGGTAACAGAGCATTTGAAACATATGAGTATCATATCATACGCAGAAGCCTTTAAAGGTGAATTTAAGAAGATATGCACAAATTGAGAAAATGACCTTAGACCCCAGAGGGTTAATCGCTCTGTAGAGTCTTTCTAGCATTATGTGACATCATCAGCCAACTGATTGGCTAATGACTCAGCATCGGATTTCATAATTATTACCTGAGTAACCCCCAGGCCTCTACACCTCTAAATATACCTCCACTGCTACAGATTCCTCCACCACTATGATACACTGAGCGAATGGAGGAGGGAGTGTTGACAATGTGCTGCGAGTTTACATCATTACTATGCATATCTCTCGTTTCATCTCACAAAAAACTACGTGGAAAATTGGACTGATTAAGAGCAGAAGTGCAGAACACGATCGTCTGATCATGTCACGCTTCTCACTGAGGGACTGCTTTTCATTTTTTTGCTTCTAAAATTAGCAGCAATGCAAAAAAGCTTTTGTGAACCATAGAATGAAACAGCATTTGTTGAGTTTTGGAAGCTGCTATGCTGATCACCAACAAAATTAGCATGTGTTGTGTTTTGGACTCTAGTATGACCAGCTAAACCAGCACTAGGCCAACATAAACCAGCATAATGTAACATAATGCTGTTGTCAGAACAAAACCTTGTATTTCCATTTTTGTCGATTTTCAGTTTTTGACATAATTTGAAAATGTCTGTTCCCCTTTACATGTAAATTTCAGGATGAATTGACCAAAAAAAGGCCCAAAATTACTTGTTAAAAAAGTCTGGTTCCATTGACTTACATTAAAAGTAAAGTATGTTTTTTCCTTCTCCTGTAAAGTTCTCATTTTGGAGATCTGAGGTTTTGTTCTGACAGCAGCGATAAGCTTAGACCCTAAATATATTTTGCAATTCTCCCAGCAACTGCGCTTTTTCCATCTTTTTGTGACCTCTGATAAAGATTGGGATGTAAGTAGATCTTTAAACTCAGCTAAAACTATTTTACATCTAGAACAATGTTCAGGCAGCGGAACAGCTAAATGAAGTAAATACATCAAGAACAGCTGAAATGATATCAAGCTAATCTGTGAATAATTTTACACTCAATTTTTTGGTGAATATGTTAGAATAGTCATATATAATTGACACAATCACCACCAAATGTTCTCTGCTTGATGTTATTTGAGACCATTTTGAACTCTAAAAAATAAAAACTGTTTTTTACGCCCTGTGGAAGCCTTGGCTTAATAGTTTCCAATAGAGACCAGTAGTTTCATGTAGAACACCTTTAGATCCCAATAGAAAACCATGTAGAATCAGCTACTGCTCACCTGTTAAACCATTACGATCCTTTACATTGTGATATCAACCCACTAAAAAAGCCAAAGCATATTAAAAACCATCAGGAACTAACAGAAACACTTAATGGTTTCTGTGGGTTTTTTCAGCAGGGAGGTCATTTTATGTCAAAGTCATTGAAAAAAAGGTTTTCTAGGGAAAAATTGTTGTTACTTAGCATAATGTTCAGTTCTAATATGACCTAATCTGAGCTGACAGAGAGGCAGCAGCAGACATTTGACAAGCTAAACTCTTATCAGCCATCCTGGAGCAAGCTTTCACTCTGTCGTTGCATCCTATCCACAAAACCTGGGTACAATTCACAATAAGTATGTGAAACTTTTTTTCATTCATTTGTAATTAGCAATCAGATGAAAGCTGCTACACAGATGAAGGCCTAGACTGTGCAAACACAAGGACAGTAAGGGTTCTAGGCCATGGCTAGATTAGCCAGAATGAGCTAATTAACAAGCCATGCAAACATATTTATGTACACCTTTATTAAACTTTATTATGTACATCTACCTTGTATCTACATTTGTTGCCCATTTTATCAGCTCCACTTACTATATAGGAGCACTTTGTAGTTCTACAGTTACAGACTGTAGTCCATCTGTTTCTCTGCATACTTTGTTAGCCCCCTTTCACCCCGTTCTTCAAAGGTCAGGACCCCCATGGACCCTCACAGAGCAGGTACTATTTGGGTGGTGGATCATTCTCAGCACCGCAGTAACACTGACATGGTGGTGGTGTGTTAGTGTGTGTTGTGCTGGTACGAGTGGATCAGACACAGCAGTGTTGCTGGAGTTTTTAAACACTGTGTCCACTCACTGTCCACTCTATTAGACACTCCTACCTTGTTGGCCCACCTTGTAGATGTAAAGTCAGAGATGATAGCTCATCTGCTGCTGCATAGTTTGTGTTGGTCATCCTCTAGTCCTTCATCAGTGGTCACAGGACGCTGCCCACAGGAAGCTGTTGGCTGGATATTTTTGGTGGGTGGACTATTCTCAGTCCAGCAGTGACACTGAGGTGTTTAAAAACTCTAGGGGCCCTGTGTCTGATCTACTCGTATCAGTGCAAATTCTACTGCTGAGGTTTCACTGCCCTTTTGAACAGGCTTGCCAGATTGGTTCTACAGTTTCCACCCAAATAACTTACGTACTAGATAATATAGCATTAAACCACCATTACATCAGTACTAATCCGCTGGGGAATGTTAACTGCTTTGCCATCTTGCAGGTAAGTATTTTTCACTGCACTGTTGATTTCTTGTGTTTATTATGTAGAATAATTTTTAAGCTGGATAATCTATGCTGTCTTAGTGATATATATATATATATATATATATATATATATATATATATATATATATGTAGAAATGCATTGCTTAATAATGCACCTCAAATCTCCCCACATCCGATCAGATATCAAAACTTTGAATGACATACACATGACAACCACCAGCCCAAATTTTTTTACACCCAGCTAAGCTCTTTTTACCTCACCAAAATTGGTGGGAAACCGCCCAATCTGGCAACGCTGCCTCCAAAGACTCATACAATAAACTTCACTTGAGCTAAGAAAGTAATGGAATGTACCTTAAGATGGTGTAATGAATTCCTCTGAGGGGAAACGGAGAGGCCAAGCGGACAAGAGATTATTAAAAACACTACTGGAACGGGCAGCTGGTGTATTTCATTCAAGTGAACTATAAATGAATTGTGCATGGATGACTAAGATTATCTTGTAGACAGAGCCGCCACATTGGCGCAATACTAGTATTGTGATTACATTGTGATTATAATGCTACACACTGTGACTGCAATACCATAATATGAAAAATAATCAGTTTTTATTAGTATCTTGTTGATTCATCAAAACGCTGACAGGAACACTTATTTTGAACTTGAAAATTGGTCAATTTTTACAGCACACAGAAAAAACACTGGTTGGTTAGTGGGCTTTTTTGCATGTGGCAGCCTTCTGCAACATCAGTATTGGAAAGGTCAGTATCATGATAATGATTAATAAACAATATATCGTGCAACCCATCTTCTTTGAAGAAAAACAATGGGCCTCATTCATCAATTTCTTCCTAAGTTTCTTCTTAAATTCAGTGAATGAGGCCTGTTGTGAGTTTTCCCCTTTCATCACTGCATAATGTATGAATGAGCATGTCTGGATGAATGTATGTTCTACTGGCACATGTCAGTAGAACATACTGTATGTTCTTGAATGTTGACTGTCATTCCCAACATTGCCAAAGCAGATTATCTGCTCGTCATACTTGGCAATAAAGTGATTCTGATTCCTGAGCACACTGAACAAAATGAGTCATTGTCACTGTGGACCTAAACTCATTAAGGTAAACACACTATACAAAGTGCATATCACTGCTGTCCGAAAAAAGCCTAACATGCATTTCCAACGTTGTAACTTTAAAAGAAGGTAGCAACGTTCTTTTAATGTAAGTTAACGTAAAGAGACATTTAGTGTTAAAAAAAGGTGCATGTTTATTTTTCCTGGACAGCAATGATACATAATGCCACGCTGAAATTTTCAGAGCTGACCATTAGCTTTAAAACGCAAACATTCACAAATATTTCCACTAAAAATATGAGCATGAGCATTTCAATGATTCTGTTATGGCAAGTTTGCCCTCTTGTGGTTACAAGCCTGTGTTGCACCCAAAGGAAACACTCAGTTCTTGCAGAGAGAGGTCATTTACTACATTGCGACTATTATAAATTAACAATCATTAAAACGTATGAACATTGTAATATTATAACTCATAATTATACAAGTGCAAGACTATAGCTTGCCTTGTATGCACTGCATATGCTGCCTTGTTCACTGATAATTACTTGGCTTTTGTAGTCACTTGGCCCCTTAACCTACAAATAAACACCTGACATTCTGCCACATATCAGCCCATTAGAAGGTAACATTGTAATTAATGTTAATTAATTAGTGCTACAGATCTTAGCTTTATGATTAAACATCACTACAATTAGGCCTGTCACAATTATTACATCATCACCTGTCCGCAGTTATGTAAGATGACTAATTGTTTTCCAGTTGTTCTTATTTGATGTTCGTTAATAACACCTTTACTTACTTTAGTAGGCAACGGTAGACAGCTTATAACACCTTTACTTTACTTTAGGAGGAAGTGGTGGGCATCTTCACTTTGCTTTAGAGGGTGGCAGAGGGCAGCGATGAATGATTATTTGAGCTCAAGCTGTGTCTGTCGTCAGTTGAGAGCTACTATTATAGATAGCAGATCTGCCACTTAAGACTTTTACTTTCATAATAATGTTTGTTTATTTGATGTCAGTTTTGCTTTTAGATGGTGGCTGTGAGCAGTGCTTTTTGATGTTTGTTAATTTAGAGGGCAGCGGTGTGTCGTGTTTGTTTATCTGATGTTTGTTAACATTCTTAGAGGGCAGCGGTGAGTAATGTTTGTTTATCTGATGTTTATAAATAACACCTTTAGAGGGCAGCGGTGAGTAATGTTTGTTTATCTGATGTTTATAAATAACACCTTTAGAGGGCAGCGGTGAGTAATGTTTGTTTATCTGATGTTTGTTAATAATATTCTTAGAGGGCGGCAGTGAGTAATGTTTGTTTATCTGATGTTTATAAATAACACCTTTAGAGGGCAGCGGTGTGTCGTGTTTGTTTATCTGATGTTTGTTAATAACACCTATAGAGGGCGGCGGTGAGTAATGTTTGTTTATACAATGTTTGTTAATAATAATTTTAGAGGACGGCAGTGAGAAATGTTTGTTTATACAATGTTTATTAATGCTTTTAGAGGGCAGCGATGAGTAATGTTTGTTTATCTGATGTTTATAAATAACACCTTTAGAGGGCGGCGGTGAGTAATGTTTGTTTATACGATGTTTATTAATGCCTTTAGAGGGCGGCGGTGAGTAATGTTTGTTTATACGATGTTTATTAATGCCTTTAGAGGGCGGCGGTGAGTAATGTTTGTTTATACGATGTTTATTAATGCCTTTAGAGGGCGGCGGTAAGTAATGTTTGTTTTTACGATGTTTATTAATGCCTTTAGAGGGCGGCGGTAAGTAATGTTTGTTTTTACGATGTTTATTAATGCCTTTAGAGGGCGGCGGTGAGTACTGTTTATTTGATGTTTTTTAACAGTTGCATACACTGAACAAAAAAATACAATGAAATCATTAATATCTGTTAACACCTTTAGAGGACAGTGGTGAGTAATGTTTGTTCATTTGATGTTTGTTAAAATAGATATCTAATCAGCCACTTATGGTTTGTACTTTATAAGTTGCACACAAAGAACAAAAAAAGAAAAACAATTAAATCATAATTCCCACTTATTTATATGGCAATTAATCATCAGTTAAAGTTTCATAATTGTGACAGGCCTAACTTACAGCTCCGTAACAATAATGTTCAGAAGTGCAAAAGGTGTTTCATGAAACTGAGATCTCGCTTCCTAAAGACAGTACTGCATATAATCGTCTATCAAAGTCTAACAGACTCATTTGGCTGATTCTGTAAAAGGCACGAGGTAAGAAACAGCTTTAGGCACTTTTTGGTTGGAACATGAACATAAGGAAAAGGTGATTGGTCTAGGAAGATGAAGGGGGAGGGTTTAAGAGTATTGCTGGGTGAACTGTTCATGGAACTCCTTCAGTTTGCTGAGCATGATCTGTAGTTTATCAGTGGGCGGTAAGATGGTCATTCTGTGAGGAAAAAGAGACGAGGAGAAGAAAGTGGAATAGTAAAGATTGGACTGTGATCAGACGTTACAAAAGAGGTGCACACTAAGGATTATTAAACATTGTTACTAAGTGAACGCCTGTTCATATCCATTCACAATTCAGATCCCTAAGGGCTTATTATTGATTTGCTCTATCAGAGTAAAAAGAAAAGGTAACTGTGGTTTGAAATATATTTCTATGCATGTATTCCTGCTTATAATGCCAATTTGTGTCACAATCAAGACAAAAAAATAATGGAAAAAAATAGATTTAAAAAATAAAAAGTAGGTACATCTCTTTCACAGCATAGACATGAATGAAATGACATACTCTGCCATCTAGTGGTAGCTATAAAAAATTACAGGAACTTACAGATAAGGTGACTGTGCCTGCATTATCTCTGTTCTTGTGTTTGTACAAGACTAAAAATACACTTGTTTGCAAAAGTGTGCACCCCCTACTCAGTTAAATTACACGTTCTGTTGATTTTCTAAGTGAAAATAAGTCAACAGATGCTCTACAGAGAACACACTTGGCATTTAGTGCACAATTTCTAATTATTTGCAAAGTTTAAAATATTGGAAAAAAAAAACAAAATATAAAACGTTTTATAACTTTTGCAAAGGATGCAATGCATGTCCTATTTATTCTAATGTGTAAAATTCAGCGAATAAACAGTAATTGTGCATTAAAATGTGCAGAAGTGTGTTCTCTATAGAGGATGTGTAACTTATTTCCACCTAGAAAATCAGCAAAACATCTCATTTGACCAGGGGTGCCCAAACGTTTGCCTACAACTGTAGCTCACTGAGCTGCACTGAGCCACTGATTCAGAAACACACCTGAAGTGAAAGGTTCCCTCTTTTTGGCCAAACCCGCTGCCAGGGACTAAACAAATGCCTGTTTCTTCCAGGAGCTTCATACAGTAGAACATATCTGGAACCTGGCCCTTCGCCTGCGCACAAACAGAGACACTATGTAACCATCACAGTAACGGACAAATGACAGAGCAGAGAACAGAGAGCAGAGGAAAATGAGACTGACCTTGGCCTCCTTTATGGCACGCTCGGGCAGCGTGATGCGGGGGAAAGAGTACATGGCTCCCTGCACTGGGTTACACCTAATCCCTGATACCGTGTTCAGAATCTCCTCTGTCATCTTGGCCTTCTGTGCCAGGTTGTTCAGCGTGGCCGTCCTCTCCTGCAGAACACACAACAGTCACGGGACTGAGGGAGCTGATACAGGGTACTTGAAGTAGGGCAGAGTTCTGATGACGACTTAGCAAATGTTAGAATGTCTTCCTGAGAGTAACTGATGTATAGACTCATTTGCCACTTTATAAAGTATAGACCCCTTAAATCTACACTTAGGCTCAATCCCATTTCACCCCTCGCCCCTACCACTTAGCCCTTAGCCCTCCGTTTTGCACATTCATGCCTAGGGGGTAGAGTGTCCAGATTTTTGTTAAGATAGAGGGGTAGGGCGAAGTGTTAGGGCTACATGTCCCTCCAAACGGAGTGTTATGAGAAAAAAAGAAAAAACGGCAAGATGGCTGCACAAGAGACCAAAGAAACCCACAAACGTGAGTATTTTCTTCGTTAAAACATTAAAAACATAACCATTGTATTTTCTTAGTTTAATGGAGTCTAAATGTTTAATGGTCTTTTTCTTTATAACAAGCATAACAATCGCTAAATGTACGCTAATGTCTCGGTAGCTAAATTTTCCGTTCCACCTTAAGTAGTCCAGCAGTTCTGACGCCTGGAGCACCAGAATGTAACTGCTGCTCCATTTAAGGTGGAACAGGAAAATTCGAACAAGAAGCTGACGAATAGCTGACTTAAGATTAATTTCACCAAAGAATTAGGTGTGGGAGATAATAAATAATCATTGCATCCCCCTCTTTGAAGGCATATGATGCCCTAAATTTAACTAAAGCCCAGGGTCACCTGCAGAGCAGCGCTAGTAGCCGGTTAATGAAGTAGTGCTCTTTTTTATTTGAGGGTCCCATTTCATAGGGGAAGATTTTAACCACTACCCCTTGTAACTCAGTTCCAAGGGGCAAGATGACACTCAAAAACAAGGAGTAGGGGTAAAAATAAGAAATGGGATTGGGCCTTACTGTCCATTTTATCAGGTCCTCTTGCCAAATAGATGCACTTTACACCAATGAGCCAAAACATTATCACCACTACCTGACACGCTGTCGGTCCTCCTCATGACTCAGAACAGCTCAAACCTGAGGCATGGACTGTGAAACTGATACCCTGTGGTATCTGGCACCAAGACGTTAGAAGCAGATCCTTTCAGTCCTGTAAGATGCGATGTGGAGCCACCGCAGATTGGACTTCAGATTGAGACGTGGGGAAAGGGCAACACCAACTCTCCATCATGTTGCTCAAACCATTCCCAAACAACAAGTGCAGTGTGGCAGGGCACATTATCCTGCTGTAAGAAGCCACTGACATCGGGGAATACCAATGCCACAAAGCGCTGTACTTGATCTGCAACGATGTCTAGGGAGGTGGTAGGTGTCAAATTGATGCCCACATGAATGTAAAAAAAAACAGGACTCATCAGACCAGGTGACCTTCCTCCATCGCTCCAAGTTTCGACGCTTGTATGCCCCACTGTAGGTGCTTCTGATTGTGGACAGGAGTCAGTATGTGTACTCTGACCTGTCTGCAGCCACACAGCCCCATATGCACAACGGGTAATTCCTCCTGTAACTGTCATTAAAAATTTGTGATTGGTGCCACAGTAGTCTTTCTGCTGGTTTGGGCCAGACGGAATAGCCTTTGTTGTCCTTGCGCATGGATGAGCCTTGGTTGTCCAACACCCTGTCACTGGTTTGTGGTTTATCCCTCCTCGGACCACAGTCAGTAGCTACTCACCACTGCTGACCGGGAGCACCCTACAACCCTCGCCGTTTCGGAGATGCTCCGATCTAGGTGTCTGGCCATATCCACCTGCCAAAGTCGCTCAGGTCTTCACGTCTACTGAGTTCTTCCACATCCAACACATCACTTACTGTTCGTTTACTGTCTAATATATTCCATGTGTTGTTGTTATGGCATAATCATTCATTCACTTTATCTGTGAGTGGTCATAATGTTTTGTCTCACTGGTGTATAGTTTACAGATCACATTATAGTTCATCTCTTTCTCTGCAAAATGTGTTGATCCCCCTTTACCTTGTTCTTTAGGACCCCAACTGGACTACCACTGAACAGGCAGTATTAAGGCAGTGGATCGTTTTCAGCACTGCAGTGACTCTGGTAGGCCTGTTAGTGGTAGTGGGTGTGGTGTTGGTGTAAGTGGATCAGACACAGCAGTGCAACTGGAGTTTTTAAAGACTAAATTCTCTTATGTGCAGTAAAGAATGTCCTGGACACAAATTTGCCTGCCGGGTTGGACTGGAAAACACCGGACTGGACACTAATACTTATTAAAAGTAACACTGCTACTTTAAAAGTCTTCAGGAGGGAAAGAGGATGGTACCGCAATGAACTGGGCATATGATGGCTCTCCAGGCTGAGGAGGGTTGGTCACCAGGGCCATGAGCGCTTGGCCAGGCACAGGAGGACACAAACGCACGGACACCAGCTTAGTGAGCTGAGCCTTCACTTCAGGATCCATGTTGATCACCTCCATATAACCACCTCGAAAACCACACCTGAAAAAAAAGAATATGGTTATTAATTGCAGTGCTGAAGAGTTGGCAAGCATCTAATTTACATTATTTCCCCCTTATCCCAAATGTAGTCAATAAGCCAGGACATGATTGTCGACTGAAGTTTGCTTCTTTAGTTGTGCACTGGAGCTGTAGATCTTCTTTCGTTTCTTGCTCTGTGTGACATACGGTTCTCTATTAATGTGGATAAAAGTATGACAACATTCAGGCTTTAATTTGGCTGCTATTACTGTTTTTAGCTTTGCAGCATACTTTTGTTGATTTTTATAGATAACAGTATGTTATATAGTGTCAGAAACTACATAAGCACATCTATTTGAGATTCTCAAAAGTGCCCAAATCACTAAAAACAGAATTTTCCTCACTTTTTTGAAAAAAGAATTTCAGGCTGCTAGGCTTGGGTGATAATGTAAATTTAGACAAACGATTATTGTCTCCAGAATTATCGCGATAAACGATATTATCGGTTTAAAAATTAATTTACGAAGAAAACTCGAGTGGGCCTTTCAGTCACGTGATCATTTTATTGCAGCCTATGTAAATGAACTGCTGCATCTCAGTGGAACAGCAAAGGAGAATTATAGCAGTGAATCTTAATTTGCAGTTATGTTATGTTATGAAAAAACAGTTACGTTAGATGAAATAATAATAATAATAATGTGGCATACGCCGCGAGAGCCGGCAGGAAGGCGGGGCCCGAACACCGAGCAGCGACGAACCTCCGCGAAGGCGGCAGGGAGAGAGTGTTTTGAAGTGTCAAAATCTAAGACTTTACCAATAATTTTAATGGAACTATTTCAAGATTTTTGAAAGTCTGTTTGCGCAAAAAATGTAAAAGTGCAAAGTATCTTTCAAAATAATGGAATTCAGTGTCTTGCATGTCCAACTGTTCTATGTTGGCAAGGATGTTGGGTTCCATAGCACATTCTGTAGCCTACGTACTGTAATAACTTCAGAAAGTTTATTCTTTGTAAACTCATTTATTTATTGTCAGCTTTTTCTTTCGGTCCTTTTTTTCTTTTCAGCCCAGTATGTCCTGAATTTCAGTTTCAGCCAATAGTTTTAATTTAAGTGCATCACTACTGAACATGTCTTGGTTTATCGACTGAATTCCAGATAAGGGGAAAAACTGTGTCAAATTTTGCTCATTGCTTTCATTTAAACTGAACTCTAAAAGTTGTTTTGGGAACAATGGGCCTCATTCACCAACCGTTCTTAAGAAGAATTTTATTCTTAAAACCCACTTTTTAACAAAGATTCTGACATTCTTCCAGTGTTTTCTTAGTTGGGATTTGTTCTTCGGTAAGAACAGAATCTACACACACTCAAGAGCACAAGGTGAGAACAGTTCTGCGGTTTGAGAACATGTCATGAATCGGACATAGACGTTTTCTCAGGACCTTTCTCAAGAGCAAATTGAAGAAAAAACTAATTTAAGAAGGAAGATACTGGTGAATGAGGCCCACTGATACTCACTGACAATGACCGTGAGCACATCCAGTTTCAAATTACTGTTACCACGAATGGCAGGTTACCCAGATGCAGGTAAAGCCAAGTCCAGGATTCAGTTACAGTCCTAATGGTGAATCACTATTGTGACTCTTTGGGCTGGATTTAAACTGTGCCTGGGAAACTGGTCCTGATCCAGCTTAACAGCTGAGTGTATATTTCAGTCACCTCTGTTCTACTCTATTTTTATGAATGATCTTCAGGGAGCAGAGTACTCCAGCTTTTGCTGATGAATGTCTCTTGGCAAGATATGCACTCACTCTCCCATGTAGCATTTGGAGGTGGAGTGGAATGAGGCCAGTTCCACTGTGCTGGAGTACTCGGGGCCCATCTCAAATAACACCTTCTTGAAAGAGTGGAATGCACAGCCCTGGGCGTACACGTTATCCTGATACACCTGAGAGAGGACGGATCGGGAGAAAGGGGGAGGTTTAGGAAAGGTTTCGACATAGACTGAAGCAATGGCAAGAGACAGAATTCCTTTGAAAATATTGCGTTACCTCATCGGCCATGAGAAAGAGATGCTCCTTTGCAGCGAATCGGATCACGTCCTCAATGCATTGTCTGCTCTGTACCTGACCTGTAAGAAGAAAGAGATCCAAATGAACCATTTCCAGTGTGATGTATGAGTTTGAGTGCTTTTTAAAATTCAATATCACATTATTTCCATTATAGTATTACAATATCAGATCGTATTTAAGTTGAGTACTGTTACTCTGTTACTATGCTAAAAGAATGGCTCACAAACATCTCATTCAGTCGTATGCAAAAGTTTGGCCACCTCTGGTCATATGACATGTTTTGATGATCTTCTGAAGATAAATTAACACATCCTCTACTCAGAACACACTTCTTCACATTTTAATGCACAATTATTGTTTATTTGAGTGTAAAATGCTGAGAAAAAATAAAGCATGAAATGTGGCCTGAGCAAAATTTTATACTTTGTTTTATTTTATTCTAATATGCAAATAAATAGAATCATACACTAAACTACTTTGCAGAAAAATGCCGTACTAATATCTTTGTAGAGGATGTATTCACTTATTTTCTCTTAAAAAATCAGCAAAATGTGTAATTTGACAGGGGATGTTTAAACTTGTGCACACGACTGTAGCTTATTTTGACTGGACTGTCTTTTTCAGTTTTCTTTCTTTAATATTAACACCTATAAACATTATACAGTAATGTAAAAGTTAACCAGACAGAAACCTCACTGCAAAAAATGGTATCTTGGCAAACGACATTATCTTAAATTTAGTCAATATTTATTTTGAGATTGTTGTAAGCAAATAAGATTTGAACGTTTTAGAGAAATTACATATTTGGTGATTTTCTATGAGAAAATAAGTTAACACGTCATCTACAGGGAACAAACTTAACAGACCTGCAAACTTTAGTGCACAGTGTCTATTTATTTGCTAAGTTTAACATATTGAGTAAAAAAAGGAGATACAAAATGTGCCATAACTTTTGCACAGGCCACATTTTATGTTTTATTTTTACCCATTGTGTTAAATAAATAAACAGTAATTATGTATCAAAATGTGCAAAAGGCAGGGGTGGTGCCATACCTCCAAAAGTGGTGGGGCAAAACTTGTTTCAAAACAAACAAACAAAACAAAACAAAACAAAAAATCTCCCATGACATGCTAATAACATGTCTCTATATTTTGGTGATATTATGTCTTTTTCTTTTGTTTTCAGTTAGTTTCACACTGCGATGGATGAAATTCATTGGTTGGAATTTTTTTTGGGTTTGGAACTCTTACCTTTTTCAGCAAATCAATCAACAAAAGAAATCAACACAAAACAATGCTGATACAATCACAGCTTCAGATTCAGGCTAATTTATATTATTTAGATTTACTCTCTGCGAGGCGAATGGTGGGACTATCAAATCTTAAACAATCTAACATATACAGTTTTACTATCCCAAATGGTGGGATTTTCTATCCCTGATGGCCATGAGTTTCCATTACTTGTTAGCTACATTAGCCTTGGACACTTTGGACACTTGTCCTGTTTTTAGGGTGAACTAGCTTTAAGGGCTGGTTGGTAATAAGGTTATATAAGGTTTATACAATTATAAGGTTAAAATTATTTATGGTACCTGTGGGATTGCCAGGGTTGATGATGCAGAGGACGCGGGGGTTGCAGTGTTCTCTGGCGGCCTCTAGGGAGCGCTGCAGCTCGTCGATGTCCAGACTCCAGCTCTTCTCCTCGTTTAGGTAGTAGTTGATCTGCACAGCGCCAAGCTCAGCTAGAGCGGCAGAATAGAGAGGATACTGCGGGATCGAGATCATCACACCCGTACGCGTACGTCCCTCTCCTGCGGTCAGTAACTTCAGTATAGTCTAAAGGAGTGAGAAGGGAAAGAGAAGAATACATTTGAGAGTAAAGAATATATTTAACAAAAAAAAACCCCTCTTGGCTGATACAGGTTAATACAGGCCAGTGTTTCCCCCTACTATTATACAGGCCAAACTCATGTGCATCCTGGCCTGGATGAGACAGACTTTAGGACGTAAGCGGCAAGCCAATCTATGTTTCCAATCTTTTGGTATTTTAAAATTCTCAGTCTATTTTCAAGTATAAACATGCGCTAAATTCAAACAGCAAGGCCAGCACAAATCCAATCATTGATACAGTAGTGTGGTAGTGTGATGTGTGGCAGAGGCGAGCTGGCTTGTGCCAGAGGATCAGCGTCTAGTTTAAGTGTTCTACTTTCTAGTCACAGTAGACTTTAGTTACTGAATTTTGTGGTCCTTACAGCAACAGAACATATAATAATATATAATAATGAAATATTAGAGGTGGGGTGGCACGGTGGGCCTGGGTTCGATTCCCCGGCTGGGCGACCGGGGTCCTTTCTGTTTGGAGTTTGCATGTTCTTCCTGTGTCTGCATGGGTTTCCTCCCACAGTCCAAAGACATGCAGTCAGGCAAACTGGTGGTGCTAAATTGGCCCTGGGTGTAAGTGTGTGTTATTGTGTATGTCTGTGTGTCGGCCCTGTGATGGACTGGCGACCTGTCCAGGGTGTTTCCTGCCTTCCGCCCAATGAGCGCTAGGATAGGCCCCAGCGACCCAGGAGGATAAGCGGTTTACAAAATGTGTGTGTGCGTGTATTAGGTGTGGTTTTATTTAAATTTACTACACTATATTGCCAAAAGTATTCACTCACCCATCCAAACCACTGAATTCAGGTGTTCCAATCACTTCCATGGCCACAGGTGTATAAAACCAAGCACCTAGGCATGCAGACTGCTTCTACAGACATTAGTGAAAGAATGGGTCACTCAGGAGCTCAGTGAATTCCAGCGTGGTACAGTGATAGGATGACACCTGTGCAACAAGTCCAGTCGTGAAATTTTCTTGCTACTAAATATTCCACAGTCAACTGTCAGTGGTATTATAACAAAGTGGAAGCGATTGGGAACGACAGCAACTCAGCCATGAAGTGGTCGGCCACATAAAATGACAGAGCGGGGTCAGCGGATGCTGAGGCGCATAGTGCGCAGAGGTCACCAACTTTCTGCAGAGTCAATCGCTACAGACCTCCAAACTTCATGTGGCCTTCAGATCAGCTCAAGAACAGCGTAGAGAGCTTCATGGAATGGGTTTCCATGGCCGAGCAGCTGCATCCAAGCCTTACATCACCAAGCGCAATGCAAAGCATCGAATGCAGTGGTGTAAAGTGCCGGCCCCTTAGTTCCAGTGAAAGGAACTCCAGACCAAGAGATTTTGGACAATTTCATGCTCCCAACTTTGTGGAAACAGTTTGGGGAGTTTGGCCCCTTCCTGTTCCAACATGAATGCGCACCAGTGCACAAAGCAAAGTCCATAAAGACATGGATGAGCGAGTCTGGGATGAATTAGAGCGGAGACTGCGAGCCAGGCCTTCTCGTCCAACATCAGTGTCTGACCTCACAAATGCGCTTCTGGAAGAATGGTCAAAAATTCCTGTAAACACACTCCTAAACCTTGTGGAAAGCCTTCCCAAAAGAGTTAAAGCTGTTACAGCTGCAAAGGGTGGGTCGACATCATATTAAACCCTATGGATTAAGAATGGGATCTCACTCAAGTTCATATGTGTGTGAAGGCAGATGCGCGAATACTTTTGGCAATATAGTGTATTTATTCCCTTAAAAATGGAAAATAAAATATGTGAGACTAACACGTGGTGCTTGATCTTAGCCTTTTTATTGAGGAAACCAGTGAGAGCTCCCCCTCTTGAATGTCTGTAGACATAACTAATCAAAGTCCTATATGGATCATTCTACCAAATGGTTAAAAGTAAGAGGAGATAACACATTTTAAACTTTTAACAGACTTGTATCTTAAACTAAAATCATTTTGCGTTGAATGAGCAGAACTCAAAAAGGCCACCGCTTTGAACAGTTATACACACATAAAATCCTAATATATTTTACTTAAAACACAAAAAAGTTTACTTTATTGCAGAATATGTGTTTCAGTAGTGACAATTCTTAATGTTACACACAGATTTTCAGACTTTGGGACACATTTACTTCAAAACAATGTGATTCATTATTATTATTTATTATGTATTACTGTTATTTATTATTACTATTACTATACATATAATTAATGCTACTATCAGACAGTAAAGACTACATACACTACCCAATCATACTGGATTTTAATCACTCAACAATTATTACTGTCTGACAGTAAAAATTACACACACTGAAGATTCATACTGGCTTAATACTGGATGGATCTTACTGGAAATCATGCATACCCCGTATAATATATTCCTAGGTAAAACTAATCCAGCTCAAATAGAGTTTTAGTCAAGCTGTGTTTTTTAAGGATGTAAACTAGTTGATTATTTACACCCAAATGGCTTCACTAAGGAGTAATTATTCAAAATTAGTGACAGCCTTAGAGTGATGCCTACAGAGTGATGTGAAGCATGTGGAACACGTTCTGCTCCTGATTGGTTAAAAGAATGAGGACGTACCACAATGCCATCACTGGCTCCCGTGGTTAGGTAGATGTTGTCCGGGTCACATGTTATACCACCGTCACGACGTTCAATGTATTGGGCAACGTCTTGTCTCACACAGTCTATACCCTGACTAGCGCTGTATGCACCTAAGAAAGGTTAGAGAGAGAAAGAGAGACAAAGAGTGAAGGTCAAAGGTGAGATCAGGAGTCAAGCAAGTCCAGCTCAGTTGAGATGACCTATTTCAAACCAGCCAAAAGTCATAGGTCCAACTAGTCCTGTCAAAGCGAACGCTTAATTCACTAAAAGTTTTAATGCATTGCCCTGGTTTGACCTTTTAAAGCATCCATAGTTCCAGGCTGAAGCCCTGCTGCTCACACACCATATGCTGCTATGACTGACTCTGTGACTGCAGCCCTCTCGCTTTTAAATGGCAAATTCAATTGCCAGCTCTCTTAATAAAAACAAAGTTATTTCTAACTATTACCATCTATTAAATATCTGTGTTAGTGCTTCTTGATCTCAGCACTGCAATTGATTCTGTCCATCATAATGTTCTTTTAACCAGAATGGAAAACTGCGTATTGCTTTCCAGAACGTTTTTTTAGCTGGTTCCGATCATATTTAGAAGATAAGAGCTTCTTTGTTGCCATCAGCAACCATTTAAACAGGAAATGTTAACCTGTGGTGTCCCACAAGGATCCATTCTTGGGCTCTTACTGTTCAATCTCTACACTGCTACCACTGGGCAAAATAGTAAAATATTTTACCATAGCCATGCACATAATACCCAGATCTACTCAGCTATCTCGCCTGATGACTACAGCCTTATTGACATTTCATATCACTGCCTACAATCAGTAAATAACTGGATGAAAGAATGCTTTCTCAATCTAAATAAACAAAAGACAGAGATAACTGTATTTGGTACTAAGGAACAAAGACTTGCGGTCAGTGCTCATCTCAACACCAGAGCTCTGGAAGGTAATGATCAAGTCAGAAATCTTGGCCTAAAAACTGATTCAGATCTAAATTTCAGCAGCCATGTAAAAGCAATACTGAAAAAAAGCCTTTTACCATCTCAAGAATATATTAAAGCTTAAAATTTCATGGCACAAAAATATCTAGAAAAAACAATTCATGCATTTGTCTCCAGCAGGCTGTACGACTGCAATGGTCTTTTAACTGGCCTTCTCAAGAGGACAGCTACAGCTTATTCAAAATGCAGCTGCTTGAACGCTTAAGAGGACTGAGAGATCTGAGCACATTACTCCAATCCTCAGGTCACTGCACTGGCTACCAATTTATACAGAATTGACTGGAAAGTGCTTCTAATTGTATATAATTTTTTAAATAAACTTGGACCAAAATACACTGCTGACCTGCTTGGAGTATACAAACCCAATAGGTCTCTCTGATCACTAAGGACTGGTCAGTTTGTGCCCAGTAGTAGTAGAAATTGAATCAAAATAAGCAAAATACAGTGTTTTTATAATATAAATACAGCCAGCAATACCAGTAATATCAGTAAAGTTAGCACTGAGAGGCCTTCAGCAGACTACACTGGACATTGTTTGTGGAAGAATTATGAATAAATAAACTAACAAAAACAACAGCAAAGTGGAAAGTTAAGTTCCTCTCGAAACGGCTTCTAATGTAGCACTACGAGAACAAAAGGGCTACAATCGCGGAGTCACTGTTGCTCTCACTGGACAGATGATGGAAACTGAAAACCGCATTCACTGTGATAATTACATGATTTTCATGTTCAGGTGATGATAATAATGTTATTGAATTTTGGTACTAAGACATTCTGATTAATCTTATTTCTGTCCACTCATAGTTGTAACAAAATGTACTGCTGATTCATTGGTCAATTTGTGCCAGTAAGACCAATTTACTACACAAAATAATGTGATTAATCAAGATCAATTGTGACAGCCCTAGTTTTAATACTACTGAAACCACAGTTTCCACATGCACTCAACATAACGTACACCTAAGCAGTGCAACATGAGTGGGAGGGTGCAAAAAATATCATGGCCATTGTGTTGTGCCTGCGGTCGTATCACAGCCATGATGTTATTCACAATTCCACATTACCTCAAGTGTTCGATTGCTTTTATCCCAGAGTCGAACAAGTAAGTATTCACTGTAAAAAGTTTCACAACCTACTATTTGCATTACTTTTATAGTACTTTACTGTATCATTTTAACAGTAAATTACAGTAGAATAGCAGCTGTATACTGTCTCCACAGCCACCCATCACAGTCATAATATTGTTGTGATGCATCTGTATTCTGCTGTATAATTAGAATAATAAGCTGTAATTAAAATACAGTAATTACTGTATTTTTGTTATTTTTACATAAGAACTGTAAAAGTAATGTAACTCAGCAGTGAAAAAGTGTGCATATTTAAAAGTTACTTGCTGTGCTACTACAGATGAGTTGATTTGATGACTGATGAAGATTTTGGTGGGAAAACTTTGAAAACTTAGTGCTACATATTGTGAAGTCCTGGAAATAATTAACATGTTTTTTTTTACTGGCAATTTCTTCCACCTGGAAAGTAGTTCCAGCAGCTTAGAGAAAAGCAACCACTGTTGTTACTTAGCAACTGGCGGTCAGAACAGTAAAAAAAAACTGTTGTTATCAGATATAACAACACTTTTCAACTAATCGTACCAATACTGCTTCCTCCACACGCCTTGAGAATGCGCCGTGCACGGTTCTTGGCATCTTCTGGAAACTTATTATCGTCGAGCAGTTCTGGATAAGAGCACAGTGCCAACACCTTGAACAGAAACACAACAAAGAAGCTATAGATTAAAAAAAAAAACACTGCACAGACATGCATTTTTCAAAGAAAGCTGGTTTGGTACATGGTGACGATGAATTGTTGTTCATTTGAATACTTGATTCCTTTACTTCACATATTTGCTAGAAAAATGTGCAAATTAGCAAAAGTAAACCAGTGTTATCTGATAAAATGTATCAATAAACACTTTTTAAACACTGTTTTGGAAATGCTGATTGTTAAGCAGTTCAGATGACATTTTACAGATAAAAATAACAGGTCCAAACAACAGTTAAACACGTTTGCATGGCCACAGCTACAGCTCATGCAGTCAGGATCAGAATATTTGGTCGAAAAATTAAAAAGAGAGTTCAGATCTCCGACATTAAGTTTTAGGAGCTGGAACGTGAAGGTACCTGTCTGAAGAAGGTGATAGGCTGCTGTCCCATAGCATGGGCATCTCCAATATTGGCTTTGATGACTTCATTAAAGGGTTTCTTCACTCCCTGTAAAATAACAAGTCAACAGTAGTTCGCATCTTCGTTTCTGACGTGTTCAACCACTTCTGTTTCTTCTGTCAGTCATAAAACAGCTGGTAGGCTACAGATCGAACCACCGCTCAGAAACATATCGAAATCATCATGTTGATGCCAGGTTAAAACCGAGGCAGGCAGTAGTTTTAGACCATTCTTTTTATATATATTTAAGTGACAGTATGGAGTTTCACAGGGGACAAATATATCACTCATGCTCAGACATAAGCACTGTAAATACAAAGACTTAGGCCCAATCCCACTTCCCTCCTTGCCCCTACCACATAGCCCTACCCCTCCCTTTTGCACATTCATGCCCAACAGTAGGTTGTTCTGATTTTGGTTGAGATAGAGGGTTAGGGTGAAGTGTTAGGGCTATATGGCCCTCCAAATGGAGGTTTTTCAGAGGCACAACTAAGTCTTAACGAAGTCTAAACGAAGTCTTACGAGAAAAAAAGAAAAACCGGCAAGATATCTTCGTAAGCAACCAAAGAAACCCACAAATGTGAGAATTTTCTCCGTAAAAAATCGCGATAACCATTTTATTATCTTAGTTTAATGTCGTTTCAATGTATTATGGTCCTTTTCTTCGTAACAAACATAAAAAATCACTAGTAGTATGCTGATGTCTCAGGAGCCAGCTTGCTAAATTTCCTGTTCCACCTTAAATGACCATTTGAGGTGGAAAAAATTAGAACAAGAAGCTGGCGAATAGCTGACTTCAGCTTCATATGACTGAAGAATTAGGGGTGGGCGATAATAAATAATTGTGCCTGCCATCTTTGAAGAGCACCGCTAGTAGCCTGTTAATGAAGTAATGCTCTTTGTTATCTGAGGGTCCCATTTTATAGAGGAAGATTTCAACCACTACCCCTTGTAACTCAGTTCCAAGGGGCACTTTAACACTCGAAAACAAGGGTTAGGGGTAAAAATAAGAAACGGGACTGGGCCTTAGTGTTATTAGTATTTTTTGTAACTGACACACTTACATAGACCTGTTAATGAAAAACTGTGGGTATGTGTAATAGCTGAGTGCAATCATTGCAAAAAAAAACTATGAATTTATTTATTCTTTCGAGTCGGTGTCTTGTTTACGCACTTGGCTCAAACCTGGATGGTTAAATGCTCATTAGCTTCCATTACTTATTAGCTACATTAGCCTTGTGGCTCCAGTGCAAAACTTCAGACAATCAGATCTATACAGCTACAAATGGGCACATAATCGCAATGTCTTCCTATTAATCTATGACCTTTCAACCTTTCCTTTTGCCTCTGAGGCCTGCAGTACAAGTTAAGGAGCGCTACACATTCGGCTTATCAGCTACGCAAACAATTGGCACAGAACACCGGTTCCCACCTGCTGATCTCAGCAGTTCTCCTGTTTCTCTTTCTCTCTGTTTGCTCTTTCCCAAAGCCAACAGTCCAAGTGTTCTCAACGACCTCTTGAATTCTCTCTCAAATCCCAAACCTGTTCCTCTCTCAGTTCAGCAAACGTGATACCATGATTTTCCATTTCATTATAAAGCTGTGCAAAAACTCTGAGGACCTGTCATGTTCAGACTTCTCATTCTCCTTCTTACAACTACAAATGAAAGTCAAATGAAAATAAATTTAAGACCAAAAAAATGATTAGAAGAGAAAATGGGGCTCCTAACAACCACCTGAAAGACCTGGAAGACATCAAAACTGCCCCCATCAGATAAACAGCACTTAAAGCTTTCATCTTTGAGAGAGAGGAGAAAATCAAGCTGCTTCAGATCTGAAAACATCCACAGGTGTTTCTGTCCATCCTTCCACTGTGAGAAGACGACTCAGCGCTGTGGGTCTGAAAGGATGTGTAGCTGTAAAGAGGCCCTCACTGAGAAAAGGAGACGGACACATCAAACAAAGAAGCTGAACAATGGACTGACCACCCAGAGTCCAGACCTCAACATCATGAGAAGCAGAAAATACAAACAACTTCTAAGACTGAACTTTGAAGGTGTGGAAAAATTTCCCTGCAGATTTCTTTGAAAACTTGAAAGCGAGTCTCCTGACAAGAATGGAAGCACTAGTGTACTGGACACACTAAATACTGACCCAATTGACCATTATATTTAGTTACTGAGACTTAAATATGTTTTCTGTTTTTTTTTTTCTCATACTAAAAATGTACTTATGTGAAAAATCTGTTTGTTTCCAGAAAACTCCATTCCCTCGCAAAGATAAAGGTTCCTAAATAGCTCTTGTCTTGGAAGTTAGGTCTCTAGAAACCTTCAACTGTTATTGAACTTTTACATCATGTGGAGTTTCTTCAAACCTTAAAAAGGTTCTTCACACTCGTACATCTCATTTACAAAAATGGCTCCATTAGAAGGTTCTTAAGGGAACCAACAGTGGCTCTTCTATGGCATCACTCTAAAGAAACTTTAAAGCACCTTTACTTTTAAGTGCGCACTACACTATTTTGAGTGTATGGGAGATAATGTCAAGGGTCAAAAGGGTTGCAGGCTATGGAGGACAATGACCAACAGCTCTCAGAAGATGAGTGTGTTGGGAATATGAGAGAAAAGGTCATTTGCTCTGATTAAGGACTGCTGAGATGCTGGAATAACAGACTGACACTCTCACACAGAATGTAATGTATATCCAAATATCCAAAAGATTACACCTCCCATACTATAATTTAAAGACTTTTACACGTTTCATTAGTTTTTTTAGTTCCAAGTTTCTAAACGAAGGTTAAAAGAGAACTACAATGTTCTTCTTTAATTGTGATAGAACAGAAAAGTGATTTAAAATATACTTAAGACCACAGTACACCTGAAAGACTGCACCACACAGAGTTGCATAGCATTACAACAAATAGCAGCACATCACATAGTATGGCACTGAATAGCAGATAGGAGATAGTACAAAGCACAGCTATACCACATAGCATGCATCACAGTGAGAGTTTTGTAACTGTAGAGGAGGTGTGGAAATAGCTGTGTAAGGCTGCACTGAAATACAGGCTCGTAAACCAGACTGGGTAGGTTTTGAGAACCACGATAGGACACGGCCATTTAACTGAAATGCAAAGCATCTAATCACAGATGTAACATGTGCAACAAAAACAAATGTGCAGTACCGGCTGGTAAACGCATAAGGATATCTTGTTTTCATGGCTACTACAAATAATTTGCATTTAAAATTGGTTATCATGAATGTTTCCTTGTTCAGCGTCTAGGACTTTACGTCGCTCAGAGGCTTATTGGTGAGAAGATGCAACTGCTCGCTACTGCCATTAAGCTTGAAAAACATATAATTTTTACTTTCTGACAGTGCACAGACCAGAGCCTGTCTAAATTCTCTGTGAATGGTCAGATTCTGAGAGCTGTGGTGATTTTAGCATGCATTTTATATCAGATGGTTTGTGTAGTTCTGTGTGCAAAGCACTGCTGTAGAGGGCCAGGCATCCGAAATGTTGGAGGAGGTACGTGTACTAGGGATGCACTGATACCACTTTTTCCCTATCGATACCAACACCTAATCCTTCAGTATCGGCTGATACCGATAAATCTAAATCTGTCTAACCTAACAAGCTTGTCCTGATACTTATACAATCCCACTTTTTAAATATTTTATTTTGGTAAAAGTTCAGTTCAGTGTCAAAATTAAAACATAGGCTCCCAAGTGGCGCAACCGTCTAAGCGTTGGCCCTATCATCAGGAGATCGCGAGTTCCATCCCTGGTGATGCTACAGCCATCCGTAGCCGGGAGTCCAAGAGAGCACAATTGGCCTCGCTCTCTCTGGGTGGGTTGGATGGCCTCCCTCCACTTGACGCGATGCTAGTCAGCGCAGACATCTGTTAGCTGACGTAACAGATCAGGCGGTTGGCGCTTTCCTCCGAGCGCGTTCAGCTGTCCAATGCCCGTTATGCATTATTATAATAATAAGAACCATATTTAGCATGCAGCAGCTTCTCTGGCTCAGGAAAAATGGTGCTGAATGTTGTTTCACATCCGAATTTTCCCAAGTTATTTGTCTCATAAGAACATGCAGCACACTCACTTTTACATCTCTGACCATCAAGTAAATAATTAGTGATTATTACACTCATTCTTGCTGTCAGCAGTAGTAGCTTTATCGGATTAACTGGCCTGGAGACCACACTGCTGTGTGATGCAGCTGACCGACGGAGTCATGTCGCAGGTGGGTCTAGAAGACACACTAGCCCGAATAGTGCCTTACTCAGCCATTTGGGTAAGGTACTCCCATTAGCATGTTTCACACAGTTTGTATATTTTTTTTTGGCTTATTCTTGGCACATCTGTAAAATGAATACCTTAGGAAGAATTTCAATTGGTATATCACCCACTACCATTGCCTTTTCATGAAATACTGATGTTACAAATTTTTCCATGTGTTTTTTTTAACTTCTGTCTACTGCTGCACATGCATGTATCACTGTATGTATTGGTCTACTCATCGCTGAAACAGATACTGTGTTTAATTGCCAGTGTTGGCACCTTAGCTCAACTGCTCTCTTATAAGCACACAGAATTGTGTTGAAATGAATTGCTATGTGAAGTGACCATTTGATATAGATACACATATATAGTGAGACGAAAACTGCTTTGCATAGTCCTATAAATACCTTTTTAATGGACTTTTCTCTAATTAAAGCAGACAAAGAGACCCAGAAGATGAGGGCTTACTGGATATTTGCACTAAACTCAGAGTCATGGATATTTTTTCAGCTTCCACAACAACAAAACTTTAATACAACTATGACAACAAAAACCCAACATTAAACTAGCTGGTTGTTCTGGTGTCATACCAGCTGAGTGAAAATGAAATAAATGCCTCAAAGCTTCTGAAATTCTGCCTTTCATTTCAGCAAAGAAGTCATCTCTCTGATCCCCCTGCTTTCACGCTAACCCTTAGCTCCAGCTGTTTTGGCATTTGAGAAACAACAGCAGCCGCAGTCAGCAGATGGTGAGGGCCAGCT